CAGATTTAAGATTTTTAACAATGCTCGAAAACAAATTAATGAATGATCTTTTTTGAAGTAATTTGGATGTGATCAAAATGAAATGCAGTTGTAGTTCCAAATATTCAAGGGATGATGCACAAGATGACATATATTGTATAATCATATACAGGGTGTCCCAAAACATATGTTACACTTTTAAACCGTTATAAAAATGTTATGCCTCAAGTTACAATAATGAAATTTAGAATATATGATAAAATAGTTATAAAGTTTTTGTGAAGCATACATTTGTCACAGTTTCCTTATTAATCATCAATATTTTTTTCTTTAGAATAACATATGTCATTTTACAATATGTAACAAATAACGTCCCTTGAATTAACATTGTTTGAATACAATTCCTGACGTTTTAAGTCTTAAATGTAACATTCTAACAATTTTGCAGTTTTTCATTAAAATTGGGTTTCACCAAATAATGAATTTTTTATATAAAATTCTCTTTTAACAACACTGTTTAAATGGAAGTGGCTTTCATCGAAAAATCATGCATCTTTTAAATTTTCAGAGTCTGCAGCTTGGTCTAATTAAAATCCAATGGGCAAACTCAAACGACTTCTAATATCTGTCTCTTTCAAATGCTGCATTACACGTATCTTGTAAGGAATCGATTTTAAAATCAAATTTGGGTATTTTATGATGATTACATTTACTAAAGGTGCTATCTTGTTCATACAGGATTCGTCTAAGGCGTTTCTGTTAAGTTTAAGTAATAACTCTATCAATGTTCTCTTCAGATCGGGCTTTTCTTGGTCTTCTAATACCAGAATTAAGTCATGTGTCATTTATGGTACTTCAAACTCCTTCACTCCTTCACAAACGTGTAAATTATTATTCTGTTGAGGACTTTCATAACAGGATGTTGTTTTCTCATGGAACTTATGACTAAAGTAGCAATTTTAGACCAATAGTAAAGTTTGACAATTTCTAACAGCTCTTCACATGAAATGACGTCATTAGGACTTCACAATTACCTGAATCTTGAACTGAATTTCTCGAAAGTTTGTCAGATAAAATATATGCTAATACATTAGATGTTGACAAAATGTCTTTGAGAATGCTTTTAAATTGATAAAGTTATAGGTGATTAAAAGTGTAACGTATGTTTTGGGACACCCTGTATTAGTATAAAAATATGTTTTAACTACATTTGCTCTAATTCATACGTTATATGCAGAAAATAATACTTAAGATACGAATAAAACAGTTATGTGCGCAGGTATGTTAAGGAAGCATATAAGTAATTTTTCGGGAAATTTAGACTTTTTGAAGAAAATTTAGTTTAATAAATTACCAAAACCATTGATAAATGTAAACTGTTATTTACTATTGCATACAGATAAAAGTGTGTCTAAGGCAAAGACGTGCATCACCGCCACGGCATCACGTGACTTCTATTAATAGCAAAATTTTCCTTAATAAAAAGGCTTACAGAACAACAATACCCCGGAGTTTGATAATTTCTTTGAGTATGTAATTTAGCTGAAAAACATCTATTTTATCTAAAAAGTGCTGCTAGAATCCCACTATCTTGTCCGTAAAATATTTATTCCACACATTCGCACGAAACCTTACCCTTTGTTTTGAATTTTATACATACGAATCGAGATTTTTTGTACAACCATGCTTTACTCGGGATTCTAGCAGCACATTCCAAGTTTGTTTTAACGCAAACTTTCAATATTTACAAATCGTATGTTTTGAAATATCCAGCTTATTGTTGTTCTGTTGCATTTTTTGGTCAAGAATGACAGACGATAGGCCGACCGGGATACGTAATATAGCTGACTGTCTTCGAAAGAGAATATAATCGATGAAAATAAATTAGCATACCTGTTGAATTAATTGAACTCCATATGAATTTAACACAATATTTCCGATATTTCCTTTTAAACTCCATTTTACGTATCTTTGAACATGCCATCTTAGCCAAATTCTCTTTACACGACATAATCAATTTCCAAGTTACTTGATGTACACATATGACGTCATCGATGGTAGATTTCAATCATAATGACTGCTACAGCATAACAAGATAAACTCATTTTATTTTTGTTAATGTTTACACGTTTCTAACCATTTTCTAGAGTATATTACATAGCTAAATACCAATATTACGAAAACTTTATTTCTAAAATTGACGTCATCTTGCCTACTATGACGTCATAATGCAGCACTGATTTAGCCAAGGTAGAAAATTTTGTATGCTTCCTTATTCCCCCTGCGTGTATCCTCCATATTTAGGATTGTTGTAAATCTTAGTTCACTGCATGTCCGATTAATATGCAACATGTAAAAAGAAAGCTGTATAACCAACATGATACGTGTTGGCAAAAAGGTACTTCTCTTCTACTCTAAGTCGACAATAAAGCGACAGTGCCCTTAAATCTGCATGAAGTTATTAACTTACAATGTAAAGCGGAAATATTTTCAGAACCAGTGTCGGGGATTACAAGCATATTTGGTGACGGATGATAATCCAGAGAAGCACAACTTTCTCTCCAAAATTACCAGTGTTCTCCATTGTGAGTAGTCATATAGACCTCGATACGAAACAACTGATCTTACAAATCAATCAATATCAATATGATATAAATATTACTCTATATTACGTACCTTATCATATATTTCGTTTTGCAATAACAGAACATATTTTTGCTAATTTCATTTTTGAAAAATTCTATAACGTGAAATACGAAAAAAATATCAGTGATCAAAAAATGAAATCAGAAGCAAATTTAAATACCCCCTTAAAAGAAAAAAAGGAATATAAAAAACATGATGAATTGGATATATTTTCTTTGTATTTTATATTTGCATAAATGCATAAAGAAATACATTCTGTTTTCATTTTGACAGCCTTAAGACAGAGCGCCTTTTGGATAGGTGCTAGCGACTACACTATAGAGGGGTCATTCCGTTGGCTGGAGACTGGATTCCCTATAGGGAATTTTTCAGCGTGGGGCGCTGGAAAACCCACCAGGAATATCACAAACAACTGCGTGCGCATGTTTTACCAGGGAGACCAGTTTAAATGGGAGGACTACAACTGTAACGACCGGACAACGTATTTCATTTGTGAGAAACAGTACGTATATAACAAATATAGCGATTGTTTTGTAATTCAAGGAATCTAAGATTCTTCAAACGATGTATTTTTATTTGACAAAACGACCAAAGTTTGATTATAATTTGTATGTATTTTTTTTTACTTAGGATGAAGGGGTTGTATTTTTATTGTGGAATTATTTCATTATAATGGAATCATTCTTCTTTCGTTCTTTTGATTATTGTTTAAAGTTTCTTTCGAAAATGTTAACTCATACGGAGACGCAAGTTAAATTTTGAGAATTGCCTATTTTGATCTGTGATTAGCTCTTAGGTCCATTGAGCCTTTTCGTGCCTGAACCTACTGGGACCTCAGTTTATACAGTTTTACCTGAAAAACAAGTCTCGAGGGGCGACTTCGATTCATACCCGAGTATTAACTCTTGGTTGACGTCACATGACCGGATGTTTACACAAACATGCGGTTTTCAAACGAACTCATATGAGTTTGAAGGGTAGCGAAAATAAAATAAATTTCCTCTATCCTCGTCCTTCTGTCTGTCTATATGAGTGTCTGTCTGTCTGTTTTTGCAAAGAAGTTAACTTTGCCCATTACTATTTTTAGAGCTTTTATAAATCACACATGTTTTCTTTGTGATAGGACCTTTTTTCTGGATATCAACATTATTGACCTTTTTGACCTTGACTTTGGATTTTGACTTGCATATGAAAAACTTTAATTTTCGCCGTAATCTGCCATAATTTTTTCAAATCACACATCTTGTTTTCCAATAGATCAAAATCAAATAAAAAGAGAAAAGAAAATAAATATTTTGATCTTAATCCTCTGTATACTGTGACAATTTAAACTAAATTTATGTTCCATTTACTATAAAATGTCTGTTTTTTTCCTATCCTTGTTCTTTATATCGCAAAATATATGTAAATTGTTTTGTAGAAGGAAACATAACCTTCTTGGTTTCATTTTTCTTTTTTTATCTTTTACTCTCTTTAATGTAATTTTTTTTTCTTTTTTTCTTTTAGAGCTCAAACAGCCGTAGTGCAATGATCCGGTGAATTGGTCGAAATATCTCAATAAAGGAAATATATATGTAATTTTTTTTAATGAGGATGTAGATTTGTTTTGTTTTTTAATTAAAGGATTTTAATCCCGAAATGCTTTTGAGAGGCTCAAAAAATTATTGCCTGTTACGTAAAACAGCAAGACTGATTTTAAAAGAATTCTTAGTGAACAGACAAGAAAAGTATATATTGGATTCCGAAACTTCATTAAAACCTTACAAAAAAAGATACATTGCGGGTTCCAGTAAATGTTCAACCAAGCCTCTTTCGTTACTCCTTACTAAGATATTGACGGTTGTGAAGGAAAAACTTCAAGAGTACTGTGCAACAATATATTCAAGAAGTGGTTTGAATCAAGTATGGATACTAAAAAATTCCAAAGAATTTTTAGCAATTTGTTATCACAAGATTTTACCAAAATAAACAGCTCTAAAACTTACTTCTTTTCAACTTTATATACAACCATTCCCTACGACAAATCAAAGTCCTGGCTTTTTGATATCATTGACAGCTGCTTTTTCGATAAAATGGAACTTGTAAATCTACTAACCTGATCATTGGTCATTTGCAAAATTGTTTTGCAAAAACACATTCTGATTGCACGCAAAAATATTCTTATGTTGACATCAAAAAGATGCTTGAGTTTCTGATTGACAATGTTTATGTGGATTTGGAGACAAGATCTTCCAACAATCAATTGGAATTCCCATGGGTAGCAATTGCGCTCCATTATTAGCAGACCTATTTTTGTATTCATATGATGCATACGAATTCGTGCAAAATCTCATGCGTGAAAAGAAGAGAACACTTCTTGTGGCCTTCAACTCGACATTTAGATATATCGACGGCGTAGTGTCAATTAACAATGGTTTTTCCATTCCTACATCAAAAAGATATATCCTGGAGAGTTAAAGATAAAAGATACCACAGAGTCTGACACATCTGTTACTATACTTGGATATTTTACTCAGAAAAGAAGTGAATGGTAATCTAAAAACTAAACTATATGACCAACGCGATGACTTTAACTTCAACTTCCCATATTTATGCAGCAATATACATTCATCACCTTCACATGAAATGTATATAACTTAATTACTTCGATACGCAAGTGCATGCTCTACGTATGAACAATTTCTAGAACGAGGTAAATTATTGACAAGCAAGTTGATGAAACAAGAATTTCAGCAATCTCGTTTAAAGTCATCATTTCGTAAAGTCTATGCTCGATACACTGACCATGTCAGCAACGCGGGTATGTTTAGAGAGCGCATAAGTCATTTTTCTGAAAATTAAGACTGTTTGACGAAAATTCATTATGATAATTTACCAAAACTGCTGATAAACGTAAACTATCATTGTTTATTGCGTTAAGATAAAAGAGGTCCAACACTAGGACGTGCATCACCGCCACGGCATCACGTGACTTCTTATAATAGCGAAATTTTCCTTACTAAAAAAGATAACAGGACAACAATACAGTACCCGCATCGTTATTCTTTACAGGATACACGATACGATAGGATACACGCACGATACGATAGGATACACGCACGATACGATAGGATACACGCACGATAGGACAGGATACACGCACGATAGGATAAACGCAAAACACGATACACGCAAAACACGATAAACGCAAAACACGATAGACCTGATAAACGATCTATACGATAGGATAAACGCAAAACCTGATAGGATTGTTTCAAAATGCGGAACGTTTTTTGCCAAGACGAAAAGATTATTGTGAATTAAATTTAAAGATTATTTAAATTATATTATATTTTAATTTAAATACTGGCAGAGCTTCAAATCTTAACTATAAAAAACATTTAATTATTATAAAAAGAACCTGAGATCTCTATATTAATTTTACAAAAGTTGTTTATTTCTATATATAAAAAAATGACAGTGATTAAATGGATTTTTATGAAATGGAGACTGTATTTTTTTTTTTAAAGTTCTTCTCAAGTGTGTGAATTTTGAAACTCTATAAACAGATTTGTTTTTTTATGAAAAATATACATTTTAATTTTCTATCTAATAGATTTATCTATAAGTACCAAGTTATTTCACGGAAGAAATTTACGCAATAAATTAAATATTTGTATTTAATGTCTAAAGCTTACAATCTGCGATGTATCCAAAAATCGCAATTAAATATTAATATCTTAGAAAATAATACAAGTAGAAGACTGGCCGAAAGAAAGGTTTAAAGAAAACGGCTTTAACAAAATTAATAAATTTAACATGATAGATCTATCAAGAACGAAACAGTTGAAGAAAATAAAATTTTCTGAATAGAAATCTAAATAATTATTAAATAATGACGATCTGCATTAATACATGTAACTGTGTCATGAGAATATGAATCTGCTACAACTGCAATGTACGTTTACGCCAAGCTCTGACTTATGTACATGTCAACAGTTTACATTACAGATACTTAAAACCTCGTATTTATTAACGAACATTGAATGGTTAAATACTTTCTTCTTTACAATACAAAACAGAAAAATTAATTACCAAATATTAAAAGAGTGAAATGTGACTTTTCCGACTAAATAATTATAAATCATTGCTATTAAACTCGATGTGTACTGTTTCTAATAATAACGAAAAATAGGTTTAATTCGGCAAATGAATTATTTAACCTTAAAAATCATTTTACACTGACCCAGTAATCTCATATTAGGCATATTCGAAGGGCGGTATTTTGAAAGTCCGCAACCAATTTAAAATTAGATAAACCAGATCTAACCAAGTAGCCAAATATGATATTGAATTCTTAAATAAAGCTACATACGTATGGAATAAAATCGATTAATACAATAAATTGATTCGGTGTATTTATTAGTCTTGCATGGTCACGGCGGATTAGACGACTCCTTTGGTTTTATTTTTATAGTAAGATACCGTTAAAAAAAATATTGCGAGCTAATTTTCATGAATGTTAGAACTATTTCATCCGTTTCTACGATCAATGAAATTGTTTCCTAGAATTTATTTTGTCCGTTTTACGTAGAAAACCCGATGACCCGAAAGTGCACGTACCATACATGTAAGTGCAGCATATTTTTTTGTGTTTATTAAAAGACTTATTTACATAAACATAATGGAAACATTGTACGAAATGAAAAAGAATCAACGGAGTGAGTTTAGGGACTTCATTTCATTAAATTGATTTATTTGAATTTTTATTTCACATTCAAGATGATTTTTTAATCCATAAATTGTACAATTATTTAATGTATTTTGAATTAAATCTTTGATAAAATTGTTCAAACAAGTTAGGAACAAAAACTAGAAAATAAGTAGATGCGTTTCATTAGAACCAGGTAGTATTCGAGGTTACTAATTGACCCCAGGTGAGAAATCAGTACAGGTATGTTGACGGTGATCACACACACACGGGCCGAGGTGTCAGTTAGCGGAGAAGGGGGAGGGGGCGGTTGACTGCACAGGAAGACAGTGTGCTAATTAGAGAGCTACACATACGTGTCAGTTTTCTTGTAAGGAAAGGTCTTCGATTTATTTTGATTTTTGGCATCCCGATGGATTATATTTTGAGTTTATTTCCACGCCGAAAAGGTAAGCTGTTAAAAAACTTCATGTTTTCCCCTGTACATGTATATATTATTTTTATGTTATCTAATGCCAGATAAAATTAATGAAAATCTTCTATTTTATAGTAACAGCCATGGTGTGATAAATTGGGTAGAATATTTTCATTGATTATATTTTATAATTTTGAATTCTTTCATTAATTTAGACATTTGTCAAGGAATTTCTAATAAGCTTTAAAAAATAAATTTAAAATTTGAACGTATACGGCCAAAATCGTTGTTAAAATCATCTGGATCATTGTCTTATGTTATGTTATATTTGTAACATCAAGACTTTAAATAATTGTGCATACATGAAGGTCAGACGCGTAAACATATTTCTAACGTTATCAGACGATAAACAAGGAAAAACAGAATATTGCATGAAAAAATGATACATTTCAATATGCTGCTTACTATTTATTTATTTGCTTTTTGTCTACGCGAACGTCGTAGCTTACCGAAAGTCTTTCTCCGCGGTAACTCCGATTCATTTGAGAAAATCATATTAATAGTATTTAATTTTGACAAAATAAATCATACAATTCGATAAATTATTTTTTAAAGAAATAGACCAGTTGATCGATCTATTCATAATTTCATTTCCGAAAAATAGAGTTACTATTTAAAATTATGCTCTGCTTTACCATGATATAATTATTTTATTTATTTAATTAATTATTTATTAATAAATAAACTTATTCATTCATGAAATACGCGATTAATTATTTTTTCCTTCTACGCTTTAAAATTTCTTATATTGATGAAAAAGAAAGGGATAAATCTTTATTTTCTCTTTTTCGGTTGAATTAATCTTATTTTTATTAACAAAACGAAAAAGAAACTCGGAATAGCTCAGTAGTTTCTTTACATAGTAAAGATAAAAAGCGAGGGTTTCCGAATATACACGATAAACGCAAAACACGATACACGATAGAACCTGATAAACGATCTACACGATAAACGCAAAACACGATAAACGGAAAACACGATAGAAAACGCAAAACCTGATAAACGGAAAACACGATACGATAGGATACGATAGGATACACGCACGATACGATAGGATACACGCACGATACGATAGGATACACGCACGATACGATAGGATACACGCACGATAGAACACGATAGAATTGTAAAGAATAACGATGCGGGTACTGTACGTTGGAGTTTGATAATTTCTTTGAGAAAATGATGTAGTCGAAAAAACATGCATTTTGCTTAAAAAGTGCTGCTAGAATCCCACTGTCCCGTCAGTAAAAATAATTATTTCACACAGTCGCACGCAACCTTACCCAATGTTTTGATTTTTCTACATATGAACTGAGATTTTTCATAAAACCATGTTTAACTCGGGATTCTAGCACCACTTTCCAAGTATTTAACCAAGTAAACTTTCCATCTGTACAAATCTTATGT